GATTGTCTCCAGTGATGTCAACCTCATGTCATCTCTGCTATTAGAGTGACATTTCCTTTGATTAAAATATCTTTACATTGCCACCACTTGATCACCTCCGGGGTTGAAGCTAGCTACATACCTCAGCTCCTACGTACCCCTCAAAAAAAGGAAACAGGTGCAAACGAGCGATTCGTAACGAAAATTTATAAAAACAGATCATACGTACGTCACAAATTTTCGTTACAAAATTGCATCATCATCGCCATCGGTCACTTCTTCTGGACCGATCGATGTCATATCATCATCTGAGCATGGAGATGAGGGAGCAGAAGTCTTGTTCCTGGCAAGGGATAGTGAGGCCCATGTCGTGGCTGAACCCGAACTCCTCCTCGGCCCGTTGGAGAAGGCTCTGGAATTCGGGATGGCTCAGCCAAGAAATGGGGACGATGTATCGGCTCCGGTTCTCCCCCACGTATACCACAAAATGCCCCTTCGGGACGTCATGCGGGAGGGCATTTACGTCATCTCCGTACCCGTGTTGTTTTTTCCCGAAACTCGAACACCTCTTGATGATGTGCTTTATGGCAGCGGGTTGTGTCACGCTCTTGGCTACCGCTTTCTTTAGGGCCATTATATAATAGTGATCAAAATGCAATTTACAAATTATAATCAATCCAAATAATTAAAACTTGAATTTCTTGGATTATAGAGTATGATTTTGTGAATGGAGGGATTAATAAAGCTTTGTAGGAGATAGAATGGAGGGGATGGGAAGAAGAAGGAAGGGTATATATGGAGTGGGGAAGAAAGAACAAAGGCATGTGAAGTGTGGGGGCACAAGAAGTGATGGCTATGGATGTTTTGGGATTAGTCATGGGAATATAAGGCCATCAAGTCTCTTACTATACCCTACAATGTCACCTCTTCTAAGGACACTTTCATGGACCACTAACCCTATATTTAGGACTTTCTCTCTTTCTCCTTGAGCCCTCCATGTCCAAAAGAAAGTTATGGGTTGACTTCACGGAATTTAAAAAAATTGTTAATAAATTGTTAATAAAAAGTTCGGTGTTCAAGTCAGTAGAATTTGTTTAAAAGAGGTCGAGAAAAACAATCACTTAATATGTAGTTTTTTTTTTGCGAGAAGAAAAAAAAGTGAGAAATTTATTTTTGGAACGGAGACAATATATATATATATAATTGTACTCACTTCTCTGTCATTTTGTACCTGTAGAGACTTCTAATCCTGTGCTTAATTATTTGTAATTAGAATAATTAGATCGGATAGAGACTTGATTTGGGCAACTTGCTAAGGTTAGATTAGTTAAATTAAATTAAATAGTATTCAAGAATTTAATTGCATCAACATTGTCTTAAATAATTTTGTCCAACATGTTCAGATGTGTGTGTGTATTGGTGTTGAAATTAATTGGGTATGTGTTACTAGATGTTCTCTATTACTCGGTACAATAATATTTTATAATCTAATAAAAATAATTGTTACACAGTTTGCATATATGATGGTTTTGTGCCCTGGTTTAATAGCTCCAAGTATTAATAATGTATGTAAATGCCTAGATACATGCATAGAATCCATAGATATACATATACTAACTTCGTCCCAGACTATTTATCCAGTTTTGACTTTTTTCAGTCAATCATTTTCAATCTTTGGCATATAATTAAAGAAAATATATATTGTATATTAATCATATAAAATAATATTTTGAAAATATATTGTATGATATATCTAATAAAACTATTTTTGTATTAATATTTAAGATTATTTTTATTTAATTTTAGACCAAAGTTTACTAATTTTGACCGAAAAAAGTCAAAAATGGACAAATACTCCAAGACGGAAGGAGTACTTAATAAACTAATTCGACTAAAAGTGATTATAAATTTAGATATATTTAATTTATTTTAACAGAACATTAATTTTTTTTTACCCGAACGAGTGTGAGATTCGAACTCGTGATTTTTAGGTCAACAAAATGTTATTGTATGGATCATGTTGAGAAACTAATTTAACTAAAAATTCAAATAATAGAAAACTTGAGAGTTAAAAAAAATGGTTTCTTCCCCCACACCTAAATAAAGATATTATTATTGGGACAATTCAACCCAATAATGTAAAGGTAATTAGTGGTCCGTACATGTAATTAGGATGAAGTGGTTGGTGGTTAATCAAAGAGAAGCCAGTGCGAAAAAGGAATGCAATTGAAAGAGATGCTTGGAAAAGGAAGCACTTCTTGTGATTCAACTTGCTCCATTTGTCTAATTGAATTCATTTCATTCAATCTTGTGCACTTTGATTATAATTAATTAATTTTCTAAAAAAAGATTAATTACAAATTTTTACTTTTTTAAAAAATAAAAAATGGATTATATGAAGATATAGATCAAGTCCGGGACTGAATCAACCCACTCTCCTAATTAAACTCTGAAGTGAATAGATATGGGTTGGACTACCTTTACAATCTAGAATGGTAGAATTGTATTAGCAAAAAATTATTTTGGGTACCCTTGATTTTATGATAAAAATTTTAATATCTCACATCATTATTTAAAATATACTCTGAGGTTCTTAAAAATTCGGGGCAATGTACTCCAGCGGTACATTCTGTCAATTTGGTCGCTAGGATTGAAAGTTTCGTAACTTTGACCAATCAAACACCAAAAAAGTTACTCTGATGTACCTCACGTTTTTCAGTTACGAACTCGCAGGTCTAATATTATTATATTTTCCATTGAATAATTATTATTTTATTAAATTTTAATAAAATCTTTCAATTTCTAAGTCAAATAATTATTATCTTAGTCGTTACTGAGTATAAAAGAATTATTACCTTATTTATATTTTCATCACAAATTAAAAATTTATATTATAAAAAATCAAAGTATTTATAAATTTATAAATTTATTTATAAATTAAAGCATGTATAAATTTTTAAATATCTGAAAATCGTATACATGTATAATAAAATTATAAATTTTAATTATTAAAATATATCAAAAAAGTGTAAAAAAGGATTGAAAATTGGCTTGTCACTGCATGGCTTGCCACTCCTCTCATTCTCCCACACGCTGACTTAATTGTTTTTTATTGGATGAAATGTGTCACGTCAACGTGTGACATTATGCTTTAAATCACATGTCACTTTCCAAAGAAAAAAAGTGAAACAGCAAAAAAAAATTATTTTAGAACATTAAAAACCGAAAGAAAACTTTTGGGAGTGGAGACGACGGCTTTTATGTTAGGTTATATGAATCTGGCATACTCCGTATATTAAATTTATTGACATAAAAATTAATTAATTAAATCTAATAAATATAGAAATATAGAGGTTGAAGACTAACATTCAATAATTTTTTATAAAAAAAATTAGAAACTATTAACTACGAGTGCTCTTTTACAAATCGATGTTTTTTTAGTGTGTATATAACTTTCATTTTCATGACTATTCCGAAATTAATAACTTTAGCATATAAAAGAGAGTCTAGCTATAGTTCGTAAAAAATCACTTTTAACTCAAAATTAAAAATTAGTGCCTGTAATAATACACACATACACCTATATATATAGGGGTTGGTTCAAGCTAAGTAAAAATAGTCCTTACTGCGAGAATAAACCATATCGTGAAAATTGTGCATTTTTATGCCTTCACGATGCACTTTTATATTGTGGTAGTGCATTTTTGGCATTAGGAGTAAAGTTCAACTTATTTACCATAATGCCACCATGTTTTTTCATATTTTTTCAGTTTTTTTTATTTTTTCAAGCCCTTAGATCTTACATTTAATGCACGATATGCATTCTTATTTCTTTTATTAGCAATCTCACTTGATCATATATATATATATATATATATATATATATATATATATATATATATATATATATATATATATATATATATATATATAACAAAATCAATAAGGCAGAGGAAATACTCCATGAAGGAGATGCATGCCAAGTGGGCATATACATGAACCAACATGCCAAATTGTAACACCATGAGACAACAATAAATATGTGAAAGCAACAAGTCAAAGCAGGCAGGCACAAATATGTGTAAAACAGGAAGCTGTGAAGATAATAAAGCAGGAGGGGTTTGTGGTTTAATATAAGCAGGCAGCCTAATATTAATTGCTAAAAGAGAAGAAGCCTTCCCATGCATGTTCCAAGGCCTAAGAGTGTAGTTTCCTTAGATGGATTCTTCTTCTCTGTGCTCCAATTTCCATTCTACATATAGAGTTGTCTAAAAGAAAAAAAAAGAATTGCATAGTCCAACAATACATGCATGGAATTCTATGTTAAATTGAATGGGTTTGTTGCTGGTCATGCATCGTTGAAGGTAGAATCAAACAAAGCCGCTAAACATGAGAAAACTTGTTTAGAGAATTAACATGTGTTTATGATCCCTTTTGCGTTTGACACACTCGGTTTCCTAGCCCAAGAGGTCGTGGAATTCCTAAACAAGTTCCAGCGAGTCGTGCATTGTGAATTCTAGACCCCTAAGACCTATAGTTTTGTCTTTAGTAGGACCAGTTTTGCAATTCAAAAGGAGATTGCTGTGCATTTTGTTGCCTGTTTACCCAAGTACCCAGCATTTTCTTATCTCATATTATCAAACAAAAACAGGGAAAAAAACTCCAATTCTTTCAATGTTTTCCCTCTATTTACTTCTCTCTGATTTCAACTCCACCAAACAGAGCCTAAAAGTACTATTTCATGCTAAGCTCCCAACATCTGGTTCTTGAGCTGCTGCAAAACCATGACTGAGTATCTCGGGGAGAAAGGTTCGACGATGCTATGGATTTGACTAAACTATCCTTTCAACGCGTGTGCAAGAGCTAGTTTATGTTTAAATGAAATCACTTGCAGCATAAGTTTTTCCAAATGGGCTCTAAGCCGAATCCTCTAGCGCATGCAACCCAATAAAGTCAATTTACCCATTCATAGACTCCAAAGAGACGCCAAAATCACACAAATAACGCGAGAGAATTAGAAACCAGACAAGGTCCTTAAACAATAGATGCCAAACATGATGCAACAACTATTCTTTTATTAGTTATAGGCTTTGAAAGTACAATCAACCAATGAGGCAATACAAACAATAACATGGGTACAACATGAAGGGGTTCGACCTCTCTTACCTTAATCTGCATCCCAAACTAAAGATGGGTAGCACGAAGTGCCATAACCTTGCATTGTTCATTCAAAGCACGAAGTTGGGCCTCTTTCTTGTCAAGTAAAGCCGTCAAACTCACATTCTCTTCCATTAGCTTTCTTACCTCAGTCTCTTTTTGCATCTTCTCACTCTCCAACTGGCCTGTTTTCTCTACGAGCCTGCACTTGGCAAAAGAGAATATATGTTTCAAAGTTATGCAATTTTTTTAAATTTAGTTTTCGCCTATTTTTAAATGTTGAATTCTTCTACATTATTATGGTTATTATTAGACATAAATAACAACAGAAAACTCAATACAATCTCATCCCATCTATGTTGGGGTCTTTGGGGGATCATTGCTGCATTTCCTACCCAAACTTCATAGAAAGCAAGAAGCAAGAGAGATTAATGTGTTATTATGATTTAGTCCATTGTTTACCTGAAACTAAAACATTATAAAAAAATGACTCTTTTAGCTCCATTGTTATTATACATACAGACAACCTTTTAAACACAAGAAGCATTCTATAATATATAGAGTAATATTTTCTAAAATGATAATCTTTTCCCACTCAATTGAACCAAGGCTAATGCTGATTGCCAATGGAGCAAAAAGAGTCATTTTTTACAATGTTTTAGCTTGAGATAACTAATGAACTAAATCAAAATGACCCATTAAACTTCATATGCTTCTTACTTTGAAGTTTGTGGTAGTAAATGCAACAACATATTAAGGATCCAAGGGGAGCAGCCCTTCTGTTGCGTACATCTTGAAATCTTGACCTCCAAGACCACAACAGAGTTGGGTTATATTGATATATTTTTTTGCCATTTTATCAATGTTATAACTTGTTTGGAGAGAGATATAAAAAGAAAAAGAGTGAATATATGTATCTATTATCTAACCGTTCAAAGAGCCTTTCAATTGTCTGAAACTGCTTTTCAGATGAGAGGAGTGTTTCCCTGACACTAATAAGACTACTGACATATGACTTAAGGGATTCAAAGTCCCTCTTAACACGACAAAGCTCCTCCTCGTTTTCTGCAGCTCTTTGTCTCTGTTGATAAGTCTCTTCAACTAACTCTTCAACTCTTTGCCGCATCTCGTTTAAAACACAGTTTGTGCCCATTGCAAATCTCTCCATCTCTTCTAACTTAAGTGACATGTCTTTGATTTGGAGCGTCTTTTTCTTTATCTCTTCCTCACCCACTGTCACCTTCCTCTTCTCCTGGGCAGTTTCTGATTCTGCCAATATTACCCTCTTGACAAGAGTTTCCATAACGTCCGTGACTGTTTGGACACAAGAAAGTAGTTCGGTCATATAGTCTTCATCTTGATCGTGAACAGAATGTAGTTCACTAGACAGTTTGACCCATGCTTCATGATCTGCTTTGTCAAAAGCAGGGAGATAAACGTCTTTTGAAAATTCAGCAATTCCATTTCCATCTTGTTGTTTGATACCACTTACTATATTTTCCAAACGAGGAGCAGTCAAGACTCGGGCTTTCACTTTCAAATTTGTCATCAGTGTTGTGGCAGTTCTGATTCTTTGCCACAGAACGTCTGGTTCCATCTTTTCACCTTCTTGTTTCGTATCAGTAGTATATGTTTGGGTCAGTTCAGATTCAAGAGCTGACATGTCAAGACAGTCCTCTCCCGCCATAACTCTTTTTCTAGCATCAAAACACACCCTTCAGTTGTTGGGGCAGTGACAACGGAAACTCAAAATAGCAAAAGATTGAAAAAGTAATCAAAAAATCAAAACAATGCAAATCATGAGACACTTTGACTATGCTTTGGAAGTAGTTGGAACTCACAAAAAAAGATTATCGAGGAAAGTCATTTTTTTGTTTTATGTTGGGAATTACAGTGTCTCTGCATACACACAGACACACACACTCCAGCTGCTTTTTGTGAGACTTTACTGGGTTTGTTCTTGTTGTTGGAAAATACAGAGGAAATAAAATTTGATAAAAGCCATTTATGTTTTTTTACATATATATGTACATATTGGACTTAATACGTGATTTAGTTCCCCGACTACACATTACGGAGTACTCCGTATTACTCAATTCAGTCCTCAACTTTTTATTGAGCTAAATTTAGAAATATGAAATTTGGAGCCAATTTAGTCCACAAATATGTTTGGCTGTAAGTACAAGAGGAGTATTTTTCGCAGCACACTTAATTTAGAGCAAATTTCAAACTCATTTTGACCCTCAACTATGTAATATGGATGCAATTAACTTCTTGCTCGGAGTGAATATGCATGATGACTAAATTGTTAGAGTATAAAATCTTTATTGCCCCTCCAAACATAAGATTGATTTTTTAGCTAAGTTGGTTCCTTAACAATATAAATAAAATAAACTCGAAAACATATCTGAAATAGATGCATTGAGTTTGCGCTGCTTTTTATCAGACACGATGAAATTCGAATACAGGAAAAGATTAAAGCTTTCGGTTGAATTGATTCCTTAACTGTACGAATAAAATGAGTTTGAACTACTTTTTACCAGTCGAGATGTATTGAGTTTGAACTACTTTTTACCAGTCAAGAAGAAATCCCAATGCAGGAAAACAGAAAATCAATTCAAATTCAAGAATCAACACAAAAACAAGAATAACCCAGTATAATCTGAACTCCATTGCTGCATTTACTTCACAAAACTTCATTCAAATTAAGAAAGCTAAAAACTTTAATGTGCCCTTTTAATTTAGTCCAGATATCAGAATCAAACAATTGAAACCAGCCATCAAGAATGCTACTAGAAGAGATTGAATCTCAAAAACCCAATACTCATTACAACCAGCAAAAAAAAGATCTTGGAATAACCATAATCGGCAGAAATTTAAAAAAAAATTGTTGGGAAGAATGGAATTATAAAAGGATGGCACCTTGTGATTTGGGAAGAAATTTCTGAGCTTCAGATCGGAAAAGGATGGAGTAGACGACGGCGGCCCTGCGAGTCCAACGTCTGGTCGGCGGAGAGCTTCACGGAAGGGAAAAGAATGATTGACTTGAATTTGGTAAAGGCAGGTTCCTAGCTGTTTGACAATAATCCACCATGCTAGGGTGCCACTTCATATTTTTTTTCTTTCTTTTTGAACCGTTCGAGAATACGGAGTACATGGTATGGTACGTGTTAGTTTGGTTTTTTAAATTAGGAAAATGCTAGGATGCAATCACATGTGTGATATCATTGGTGCACCCATGCTTCGCACAGACAAACACAGACGATAATTGTCTGTGTCGCACAGACAATTATCGTCTGTGTTTGTCTGTGCGAAGCATGAGTGCACTCATGGTAGCACCTATGTGGTGGCACCCTAGCATGGTCCTTTAGGTTAACTTAACGATCTTACGATTCACATATAAAATATAGAATTTCTTACTTCTTTTATGGGTCGATATAGATATTTTATACTCCTTTCGTCCCATAAAGTGTTACCCATTTTGACTAAAGTTGAAATTAAAGGAGGGATAATTTTGTGTTGACTTTCCAAAAATACCCTTGATGTGATGGATAAAAGTAAGATGTGATATGTAGATTATTAGGAAAAAGGTATGATGTGATAGGTAGGGTTTGAAAAAGTAAGGGGTAAAAGTGGTTTTTAAATATAAATGGGTAATGGATTGTGGGACACAATTTTTTTGAAACGTGTAAATCTTTTTGGGACGGAGGGAGTATTTTTCTTGAAGAACTTAATTCATGTATAGTGTTTATATAATAAGGTACATAAAATGAGTGTGGATTTTGAGATTACAAAAGAATTTATTTTGATTTTTGTATCTCGAACTCGCCTGCTTTCAGGCCCCGAACATGCCTAGAGGGCGATGCCCTCTTGGAAGCTGGAATCCTCTCTGACTTGAATCATATCCAACTCAGATAAATGTGCACCCACACCTTTTTGACTTGTTTGATACCGAGTATGACTTAATTTTATTAACAAATTATTTCATTTACATTGAAATATTAAAATTAGGTTCCAATAGTATTACGCATCGTCATGAATTGTGTCCATCCATAATCTTTGACATATAATTAAATAAAAATTATATGGTATATTTATTAGATAAAAGAATATTTTAAAAAATATTTAACTAAATAAATCTAATAAATTTATTTTTGAAAGAATATCTAATATAAATTTTATATGATTAATGACCAGATTTTTCAATTTTTACTGTGAATTAAAATTCAAAACTAGACATATAATCTAGAACAAAAGTAGTATTCTTTAACAAATCTTATTTTATATGTTTGTCTCACCATTTATACCTCAAATAATATTTGATTATGTACTCATTTAACAACAATTCAAACTTTGAAAAACTGATTCAATGGCAATGTTTAGTTTAGCATTATTCAAATTAATCTACTGCGTTAAAGAATTATCTATAACACTAATTGAAAACATATTTTCAAACAAAATCTATATTTTCATGGTTTGCGTCTATGCTTATTGACTCATAATATCTTATAGGGTATTACTTTTAAATATCTATATCAATCAAACAAATTATTTGTCTTAATTTTCATTTTACCTCGTGTTATAAAAATTAACGGGAAGAGCGGATTAATAAGATGCAATACCATCTCATTAATAGAATATCATGTTCAATATTCAAGAATTAAAAATTTACTATTTTCTTTGTCTATTTACATCATTCATTCAATAAAATAATATAATTTTGTCTTAGATTTTTTTGTAGAAGTTTTATATAGTTTTTAAATATGACAAATTCTTCCGTGAATCTAAGGTGCATGCTTATTTTATTAAATTTAGTGTATTTGTAAAATAAAAGAAATGAGTCTTTTGGAAAAAAACTACATACGGAGTACAAGCTTATTAAATGTGAAAAGATCCACTTTTTAAATATAGATTTCAGGGCTATGTAAACATCACTCTTTAAAAATAGAAACTATATTTTCAAATTTTACAAAAAGAAAATCGTTTAAGTAGGTTAGAAAAAAATCTAAATCAAATATCTTAATATATAATTGAAAAGTATTTTGTGGTGGAAGTAGTATGTGATTCACAAATTTTTCTACCTTCTTAACAAATGTTTACCACAAAATTTTAAACTTTTATCAAATTTATTAGATCTCGTGTGACAATGTATAAAATCATGAAATTTATTTTGAGATTTCATCTCATTTATTTTAATGATAAATTCTACTTATATCAAAAGAAATAAGCAAATTATTTTTTGAAAAAAAATAAAAAGAAGAAAGCAAAAAGTAATTAAGAAATAAGCAAAATATAAGAAGTTCCTTTGAAAATTATTAGAAAACAAGAATATTATGACTCACACATAATGTTCTTTTGGTAGAGTATATGAAGAAAACAAGAATATTATGACTTGCATATATGAATGTAATTTTAGAATAACTCAACAAAAATTATAAAATGTTTGGTAGAGTATAGAGATGTAACAATATTTTGTGTCTCTTCACCCTAAAATTTTGTGCTATTAAGAAATTTATGTAAAATTTTTATTTTTATTCGAATGTCATTAATTCTATATTATGATTATTGTTTCTATCTATGTCAATATTTTGACTATTTCTTTATAAAATACAAAGTAAAAAATCATTCTTATACGGAGTAATATTTTCCCAACAAACATTTCCAATATCAAAAGACAAATAATGTTAAGTTAAAAAATTTCAAGAAAAGAAAAAAAATATTACGGAACATAAATAACTTTTTTTCAAAATGTGATTACTTTACAAGAAAGAAAAATAATTAAGGTTTTGTTTTTTTTAAAGCATAAATAAATACACGCTGTATTTGTTTAATGGCGAGTCGAACACTTGGACCCCAGCCTGAACCGCCGTCATCCGAGCTACGGAGTTCATCTGAAACGCGAGAGGAGACGATTGATGCAAGGCGGCAACGGCGGCGGCGGCGGAGGGGGGTGCAGAGAAGGAGACTGGGAGTGCGGCGGATGTAGGAACAAAAACTACGCCTTCAGAAGCTTCTGCAACCGATGTAAGCAGCCCCGTCTTTTGGTAGACAACAAAACTCCTCCAGATTCCAAGTGGCTCCCCCGTATTGGAGACTGGATTTGCACAGGTACTTTTTTCTTGATTGTGTTCTTCCGTATTTTGGTGCGTTTCTAGATTATCTTAGCGTCTGTTTGCGCGATTTAGGGTTTATCCCACTCAATGATATCGTATGCGCGATAAGTGTTTTTCTCAACTGGATTGGTAGATTTGTAACATTCGATAACGATGCGATGAACTCACTGTTATTGTGAAGTTTAACCATGTAATCGTTTTTAATAAAACCATACCAATTGGAAAAAATGGAATAGAAATCATTCTCCCTCCATGTTGAGTAGTAAAGGGATTGGGGGTTTTAATTTATGTGTTCAATATTATTTTTATGGCCTGATCAATATGACTAGAAGTATTGAATTGTTATCCGAATCCTGGTTCTGGATTATAGCTAATGCTATCCAGTCCCAGTTTGGTTGAGTAAGTTTTTGATAGAATAAGTGTGCAGTTAGTCGAACTCTTAGGTTAACTAATTTCTCCATGTCTGTCACAATGGTTTGAATGTCTTCTATCATGTAAATTCCTTTAGAAATTTCATTTCGGTAGGTTAAGGTATTTCATTTTTTCACTATGTATTGTCATCTTGGATGCGGGTTGGCGTGCGTATTCTTGGATTATTTCCTCTCTGGTTGGGTTGTGCGTTGTGTGTGTGGAAAAATGGCCCATAGGTTGCACTAACAACAACTATGCATCAAGAGAGAATTGCAAAAAATGTGGACAACCAAAGGCGGTGGCCTCAATGCCAGCAGTTTCAGTTCACGGTTCAACTCTCCCTACACATCCAAATTATTTTTCTGGGGTAACTGGACAAGCAATCCAACATGCGCCATTGCCAACCTCCCAGTGGTCTTCTTTAGCACATGGTGATCATTATGCAGTGCAGCCAGCTTCTACGTGGGCTTTGTCTGGGAGCAACAGTGCTGGAGTTCCATATGCATTTGCAAATGGGTGGCGTCATGGTGACTGGTTTTGCAAATGTGGGTTCCACAATTATTCTTCTCGTGCACAGGTCAGTAGGTATTGATTCTTGATTGGCACTAAACCTAGCTCACCTCCATAAGATCCTTAAGAGGTTTGGTTTTACCTGACATATATTACTAGACTCATATCCAGCAAACAGTTGATTTGGGACATTTAACCCATTCTAGCTCAAATCAATCCCGTCTGGGCAACTGAAGGCTGGATAAATTAGTCCAAACAGATAGCCAGATACTCAAACTGGCTGCCCCAAACCGATGGGTTAATAGGTGCCCCAAAAACCACCATCATACTGCTTGACATGGCTCTAACAGACTAACACACCCCAAAAAGATCCTCAAGAAGTGATGTTTTCCTCACATTTTATATATTCCCTCCGTATCATAAAAGACTTGACAGCTTGACAACCACAGATTTAAGAAAGTTGTTGGAAAGTAAAAAGTGTGTGGTTAGAATTTGTTTAGAGGAGAGGAAATTGTTGGTAGCCACATATTCATTACCAAAATAGGTAATGGAGTGTAAAGTTCTTTTGGGACGTCCAGAAAGAGAAAGTGTAAAGAGTTTTTTGGGACGGAGGGAGTATTAGATAACCGATTTGGGATACTCAACAACGGGTCAGTTGAGTTTTTGGCCTAAAGATTACCGAAAGTGACATGTGTCATGTAAGTGGGTTTTCATTTGGTAGGGTATCTCAATTTCATTCTCTTGCAGTGTAAACGGTGTGATGCTTCTCTGCCACCATCTTCGGCCTCTTCTTTCAGCAGCCCAGCAATTACAGGTATGTTTCCATGTTTTGCTTATTTCATTTCACTGAACAGGTCCACAAACTGTTCTTTTTTGAACTTGTCTTTTGGACATCATAATATAAAATACCCAGCTAAGGATTTGTCTTGAATCATGAAATTGCAACGATTGAATTTTTAATCTCTTGAGTCTTGAACAGTTCTAATTTTTTAAAATCACTCATATCTCTTCATTATATATATATATATATATGTATATATGTGTGTGTGTGTGTGTGTGTGTATATATATATGTCCTTATACTACTTTTGAATATTTTCTAAAGGGAAAGGAAAACTTTTTTTTCACTTTACTTGTTTTTCTCTTACTTGTAGGGCTAGGGGTTGTGGCTCTCCTGGCCCTGTAGTTATGGCTACCTTGTGTGGACATTAGGCGGTACTTTGTTTTGTTTTTTATTTGACCACTTACCTACTTTGCTGTGCTGATCTTTTGAAGTTACTTTTTCTATTTTAATGCTTGCCATTAATCCCAAACCATTTATTTCACCACACTATTCACCTTTGGGTGCCTTCTTTCTACTTCAAAAGTTGCTCTAAAATCATCAAGATTTTCAAAAACTTTCTTGTTTTCCATGTTTAACTTTCTAATTTTTCTTAGTGTGGGTCTTGATGAGGAAAACCTCTCTTTTCCCAGGAATATAGGTAAGGTTTGAATGCATATCACATTCCCCAGAGCTTATGTCCTTGTTGGATAAATTTATTAAATTGTATATGTTTGGTTTTGTATGGCTTATATTGTTTCCCAAATTATTGTTTTCCTATGAATAAATAGACTTGGATGTTAAAAAGGAAAATGCACAATTGAGTAGTGCATTTTTACTAATCTCAACTTATTTTCTCTCCAAAGTTGAAGGAAATAAGTTGAAAAGTAAGTAAAACTTACTGTTCTTTCTCCTCTTATTTTCCACTCATTCAAAATGGGGTGAAAGCTAAAATTTTATTATTATTGTTGTTGTTGTTGTTGTTGTTTTTCGTATTTCATTCATTCCAAACACATAGTAAACCTGCTTCTCTGGAATGACACATTCACGCTTAAACTGATATCCTGTCCTATGTTTTTTATATCATTGTGAAGCTCTTGGGACAAAGCGTCTAGCATCAGAAGAACTTGTTCGTGACTGGGAAAACAAGAGGCTAAATGCTGGACATGTGAGAAACAATAGCTTCATATGAATTTCAAAATTAATTATGCATGTATCCTTTTGACTTTGAAATTTGGGCTGCAGCCATCATATTCGACCTTTGGAAGTGGAAACACGATGGAGCTTTTGAATTTGCATGGCAACCTACATACGCTTCCTGCAGCACCCACTCTCCTTGGGAAGGGGTAAAATGAAACAATTTTATTATTCTGATTTTTATGTTGACTAACATTTGCTCTTATTTTTATGATATAGGAAAATTACACGCATTGGACTTAAACATATGAGTACCATTTTTCTGCAAATACGTAGTATTACTTAAGCATGCCATTCATTTTTCTAAAACTAGGGCTTAAAAGTAGGTGATGCATCAAAATACCCCATAGGTTCAATAACCACCTCTTTCTAGCTCCTGTTGTCAACCAGTTTTTCATGGTTGTCATCACCAGCTCAGTTGCCTGTCTAGGGCTGTTATCATCAGCTTTAAACTTTTTGAGACTCCATATTTTAGTTGAAATTGAAGCAGTGTCTAAGCTCTATTATCCAGACTCCTTGTTTATTCGATTATCTACAGTCATATTTGAGGCTCACTTGGAAAACTATCATCTTTTTGTGCACATTAACATTTGGTGTACCAGACAAGAAGGCCTAAGGCCAGAGAAGGGGACAAAAGTTTTAACTACAAAAGCAATGATATGGCCCAAAATTCATCTTTATGCATTGTAACCTAGAAAATAATGGGAAAACTGAAATCTTAAATTCCAGAAATCTAAAGAGGGCAAAAAAAAGAGAGTTAGACCTATAAACAAAAGTGATCAGGATTCAGAATAAAACTAAGATTATAAAATAGTCTATAGAGAGAGCAACTATTAATCTACTGTACATGAAATCTCCCAAGCATATGAATTCAAAAATGTATTTAATATTAGAACATGAAAAGACACATCAGCAATTTAGCAGTTCACATCCGGGTAAAATAGGATAGTTGATCATTCTTTATGAGTAGGTAGATTCACGTGACACTTCTTTTAGTTCAGAGGCTTATGTGATGAATTGAAAATAGTAGATTAGTAGGAGGGCTTATATGGTTTTTCTCTGGCTAAAAGTATCATGTATACATTAAATAGTTAATTCTTAAAGGCAGAATAATGCTGTCCAATGTGCAATCTTTTGTTCTTGAAATTAACTCAGTATTTCACTTGCAGGGCAAAACAGTGGCGCGATGGGGATTGGATGTGCACGAATTGCAATAATCACAACTATGCATCTCGGTCACAATGTAACAGGTAATTTCACTATGTATTTTATCATCCATATATCAATACTCAATTGGTCTCAAAACAAGGTTCGTACTTTCCATTATTTGTCCATCTCAAGATAAGGGCTTTCTTTCCTTTTAGAAGTAAGAATAGTGTGGCTCATGCTATTTCAACCTACCCAGTGAAGTCCACTATTGAGGTGTTAGAGGGTGGGTGTACTCAGACCTAACCCCTACCTCTAAAAGGTAGAGGCTTCTTCAAAAAACCTCCGGCTCACAAGGTTAGAATATGAGATTGAGAAGGTTTAGAGTTAGGTATGATACATGAAATTGGGTGTTAAGTCTGTATTCAGGAATGAGTTTATGGTTTTAGTTTCACATAAAGTCGGTGATGGCGAAGAGTTGTTCAAATGAAGGAATGGCTGCCAATCGGGAGGGGATTGAGGGTGCGATTGATGTATGTGTTTAAAGCCTTGAGGGGATTCCTGGGAATGACTTTTTGGGAATTATTTTCATTAACCAAATACAATGTATGGGTATAAAATTCCAATCCCTATACCTGAACTGATAAGCTTTTGTGTGTTTGTGCTTGTACAGGTGCAAAACTCAGAGAGAGACGAGTGCCCAGCCGGTCAGTGTTGTCTAGTTCTCAGTTCAAAACAACGTTTCATTATCTTGCAGCTTCATGGTGGTATACTCTTGAGTACTCATCTTTCTCCCTTGTTTTTCTGTTTGATGTTGGGAATGAGGTTTGAGTGATTCTGGTTGGGAGTCGAAGGGGTTTTTTTCCTTCTCCGTCAACATTGTTGAAGACGAGAATGGGAATATTATTTTGAGATGGAGATAGGAATTTGTTTGTGTTATTGTTGTCTAGCTTCTACTATACACGGAGTATGTTAATTTTATTGCTAAAGCTTTCTCGAGACATGACTATCATAACTATGTCGATGCTGTTTTTTGGGTCTCGTTATACTTTTTGTGCCAATACAAATACTTTTTTATCAAGGTTCTGGTGGATATACTTTCTCGTAATAATCTTGGCGTGATCAATTTCGTGTGAATCCCACTCTTATCATGTATATGAGCTTTGTTGGTCCGAGCTTAAATATAATTATTCCGTATTAAATTATAGAATGGATTGATTACATTGAGGCTCTGTTTGGTACACGAAATTCAAACTATGAAATTGGAATTGGAGACAACAATTCTAATTCTGTTGTTTGGTAGCTCAAAAATATGTGGAGAATTCAATTTTATCCAAATCAATTACATAGAATTTCAACTCTCAATTCAATTCCAATCTCATCAGTTTCGTGTACCAAATGGACCTAGAGTTTAATTCACTATACACATTTGTATCAGTTGAAGGGCATTTGGTGTAGAGCTTTGTTATTGTCTTCCTGCATCAATTTGAGAGTATTACCCCACTACAAATACTACCACTAATGTTGCGGTAAAATATTTCCTTGAAAAGTGACCCAATTGTTACCAAAAGGATGAACTTCATCCCCGAGGATTCCTCAAAACCGGCTGGATGGTCCACTTGACTTAAGATAAATTGAACTTTAGTAAGAGATTGGTGGAACCAATTGTTATGAATACACAAAGAGGGTGTTTGAGTGATTTAAAATGATTTCCATAAAAGCTGAAAGCAGAAGCACTTCATACCTGCTTCTCCGAAACAGTGTTCTATGTATAAAATAGTGGTGGTGAAAAGTAGAAACTGACATGTCAGACACAGTAAAATCACTTCTACTCAAAGTAGAATCACTTCTACTCAAAGTAGAAGCTAAATAATTAAGACCAGCACACTGCAAACACCCTTAAAGAATGGTAGGGTAGCTCTAGTGCAATTAATGATGTCTATTGTTAAGTCTATTATAGGGCGTCCTTGGCAAACAACATTTAGCATGACAGTTAGTATATAGTGTGTCTCTGTACCAAAGGGAATAAAAGATGTTCTCATGAGAAAATGACACTTGTTCTAAAGTAGTTTCAAAAGTGATTTTAAAAATGCCCTCCTTGGGGTCCTCATACCCCGGCCTCACAAAGTAATGGGGAATAAATTACAGTATAATCTTAGTTTGGTTATTCGAGAGACAATTTCATGTTCGGTGTACCCGTGGAATTATCACACTCGATAAAATTCTTACACTGTCATTGTCGAGAATTGATCCTGAGACTATCTAGGCTACTCGTGGAGGGAAGAAATGAATTAAAAAGTTTTATTGAGTGCGGAGGATTGATTATTTGACGGAACAAAATAGAGTTTAATTTGTTGTTGAAGGCGTTTTTCAATGTTTTAAAATTTTCAAATAAAGGAAAGAATGATAATTTCAAGATATTCAAATATGGTAAGTGAGAAGATAGTTTTTTAGGCAGATTGAATAGCAGATAACAGCTTATATTTTGTGTTAGTATGTTCAACTAGCTATTTGTAAAACTTGTTTGATGATATATGTCAATATTAACTAAAATGTAGTAATATCAAAGTGATGTATGAATGTTTATATTATTACAATCTCCAGATTAGCATTTTGTTTATTTTGAGTAGTTGTTTTGGATTAAAAAAAATCTCAAAAAGAATTAGCAAAATCCTGAGTAAATGTTGTTCATAAGCATGACATGGCTTCTTAATACCTAGTGATGGTATAAATATCACAAGACCAAAAGATGTAATCTTAAATCCATCTAAAGCTGTCGCATTGTATTAATACAATTAATAGAAAAAATTGTGAAGATAGTACTTGTGGAAGGAGACGTTAGATTCGTGTAACATCTTATTCATATAAATTCGTCAAAGAAAATATGTGTTTGTTGTACCAATACACTTTGAGGTTTGATAAATGTATACTGTTACCTCTCATGGTTTAAAACTTACGGTGTTACCCCTCGTCATTCTAATATTGCTATATTAATGTTTCTCTAGATTAAAATATCTTTCAAATCTTAGGTGAATAACTCTGTTTCTCTCAATAGTTTTGGAAATGGAGATCAACGCACTCTTTCTTTTTTTTCTTTATTGCTTTTCTTTTTCTACTGTTTTTTCATAAATGTTTTTTTAAATTTCCTTTTTTAAAATTGTTTTTTATAATGTTTTAATAATCAATTTTTTTTGTGTTTGCGATAAGAAATCAACTAAATAAAAAGAATTAATGTATGTTTCATTTGTCTCAAATTAAATAGTTTCATTTTTTTCAAAAGAGATCTTTATCAGTTCGTTTTCATGATACAAAAATCAATGAAAGATTCACTTTTTACACTAAAACTCATTTCTCATTTTCTGTTCATTAATTTATACTGTTTTTTTATTTTAATCAAAGTTAAAATAAATGAAAAATGAATAGAAAAGAAAATAAAGAAAAAGAAAAGTATATGATAAACTTTTTTTGAATAGAGAGAATTAACTATTAAGTCATGAAGGAAATCTCTTGCGTATCATTCTAAAAAATGTCATTAATATATACTCCGTAATTAACTATATATTAAAAAGACTTGACTCAATATTCTTTTTATCCCAACATATTCAAAAAAAGACAAAAAAAGAAAATATTTAATTTGACAAATGAAGCATATGTTCAATTTATTATTTCATTTTTTATTTCGAACACAAATACATTTTTCCTCTCTTTGCGGGAAAAAGAAAGAAAAGAAAAAACAATAAAGAAAAAGGAGATGGGCGTTGGCGCCCATTTCCAAAATTATAAGGGGCAACGGGCGTAAGTTTTTTTCAGAAGGCATTAGCGTAAACGACGTAAGTTTTGAAGCAATGAAAAGTAATGTTGCATATTTGCCAAACCACATGAGATATTGGTACAAATAAACTCAAGAAAATATATTATAGACTTGAAAGTTTACAAGATTCGCATAAACCACACAAATTTTTCTTTTTTACCAGTATTTTTCTTTTAAAAAAAATCATTTATCTTAGTAGTGGCAAATGCTCATTTAACATATATGAAAGTTAATGCAAGAATTTTTATTATTTGTTAACCGCTATTCGTCAACACACAAAAGAGATCAGTAAATTCTTAGATAGATTCAAGAATCACATAAAAATTTTTGAACCTTCTTAATAATTGTATAAAAATTTCAATAATATTGTGAAAAATGTTTATTTATTTTTTATTCTTTTACCTGTGCATGAAAGTTTATGTATCACTCTTTTTTTCTATAAAAAGTTTCATATTTCTTTTTTTCGTTCGTTCAAAGTAAAAGTTTTGCTTTTCACATTTGGAAAACTATTTGACATTATTTTTCTCTCTTCTATAGTACTTTTAACCATATAATTTTACTCTTGTTAATATTATGTTGATCAATTATAAAACGTTATTGTACTTTAGTCCATTGTGGAAGCAGTCAAAGAAGTACATATTTCATGAGTTCACATCTTCTAATTCTCTACTATTGAAAAGGAAAATACTAAAGTGCAACTGTATGGGTGCTATTATGAGTGCACACATGCTTCACACAGACAAATACAAACTATAATTGTGTGTATAATGAAAACCACTCTTTACTTTAATTCAAGAATGACATTTGTGCCCTTATCCTAACACAGCTTACTTCTCTCATACGGAGCATACTCTTTCTTCTCCGTCCCTTTGATCAATCAACTCGCTACTGGTAACCGGCTCACTGAGCGACTCAGTCCGCCATGGCAGGGCAGCCGAGAACTCGAATAGACGACGGAGACGACGACTCTTTCTTGCTCAATTATACCGCCGACGAACTCCGCACAGCTTCCGAGTTCTTCGCCAATTGGATTCCTTTTCTCTCCCGAGGGCTCTGTCGGTCATGCGCCCGCACTATCTCCGATCGGGTCCGATCTCTCGATCACGGTACTCTCTCTCTCTCTCTCTCGGCGTTCAATTGTGCAGTCACTAAAACAGTTTTCCTTTTACTATTTACTTTCTTTACAAATATGAATTTTATATGGGTAGTTTTTATATCAATTTTCATATAAATTGAGTTGAAAATAAGGTCATTCAAATAAGAAAGGAGTAAGAATAGAAATAATATACTCTGTACGTTTCTTCAAAAAAAGATAAGTCTATAGTCCCTTATATTAAGTGCCTGAAGAGTATTAGTTACTGAAAAAAGAAGACTCTTTTCTTTTGGGAATTTCTTCACAGACCCCAATGGAATTGTTACTATTCTTGTACTGGTTATTCCTGTTTAGGATTTTTCAGAAATGGGTTTTACCTATTCGGTTAAGAACTGCATACACCCACCCACCCAGACCCCACACGCCGGGATTAATGATTAATCGGTTTTTGTTGTCGTTGGTTGTGGTGGTAATTCATATTTGGATTTTTGAGGTTTTACTGTATTGATTATCTATTTATTGAAACTTCTGCAATAGTGCTTGGAGAAGCTGGTAAGGATGTAATATGCACCAAACAAAAAGAGGATGTTGGGGCTTCGACATTAGGAAATAAGGATTTGACTGGATATTGGGGTAAAACAAACTCTGATACTTATTCCATTGGGAGTTGGAATAATGCCTCGGATATCAATGACCATGATCATGCTGACACACATTCACTGGGGAGTTGGAAGGAGGAGGGAGATGGGTCTCCAGAGCATTTGTTTGAGCCTTCTACTCCAGCAGGATTCTGTATGGATGAACCATCACAGACATCTGGTGGTGGTGGTGGATGTTTGAAGAGTGAAAAGTTGAGCACCCCTTTGTTGGTTGGAATCCCTTTAAAGCAATTTGACTTTTCTTTTTGGTCAATTTATATTGATGGTTTCCTTTTTGGTAACTTCATTTTTGTATGGAATATCAGCGAGGGACAAAGATGTCATGGGCAGATATGGCTCAGGAGGATGAGCTGGGGACAGAGCAAGGGTCTGGTTCAAGCTCACATTTGCAAAACACGAAAAGCTTGTCTAGGGAGGAGGGAGCGTCTGGGGATGAGTCTAATAAGCTGAAAACCGAGTTGTCAACGGAGCAAGGGGAGTACATCCGGTTCTGTAATGTGAAGAGGATGAAGGATT